TGTTCCATTCTATATGCATCCGAAGAAGTGGGCTGTAGTCCACGAAAGCTTATGCTCTAATAAATTTGTTAGTCTCTAAGGTGCCACAAGTACTCCTGTTCTTTTTGCGGATACAGACTAACACGGCTGCTACTCTGATACATGCTTAAAGTTAATCATGCATGTAAGTTGTTGCAGGATTGGGGCCGTTGTGGGTGATTTATATTTATTACTAAAGTTCACTGCTGTTAACATAGTCCACTATACTATGATCTTCCAGAAAAGCCTGGAAGCTTGAATTTCTAAAACACTTTCTCTCTTGATGTGTCTGATCACTATTTAATTCTTGCTTCAACTAAATGATAGAGCAGATGCTTCAAAGTAATGGAAACATTACTTTTTACTTGGCCATTTTCATGTAGGAGATGTAAAATAAAATCTGATTACAATACAACCTAGTTTTACCCAATACATATTAATATTAAATTAAATAATGTAATGTTAAATGTATCGTATTACCTTTCCAGATTTGCTTACTTTCAAAACAATGAGATTTTTTCCAAGTGATATTACACTTAATATATTCTCTACTACCATCCATTTTGAAATACCTTCCTATTTAGGCCTTGGGACACGGGGATAAAAAATAGGAAACCTGACATGAAAAGCCTTTTAGGAATCACACTAATATTTCAGACAAGAGTGGAAAACTCCAAAAGACATTCAAATACATTGTTAGAAGTGAACCTGTAAACATTTCCAAAGTGAATTGTTGTGTTTAGTTTCATATGTCTTTTGAGCTGTCAGATCCAGATCAATTGTCTGAAAACTAAGGTTTATAATTCTTTTAATAGAATATATGATACAAAAGGAAATTGTGGATTTTACTTGATATGCTAGAGTGCCACATGTGGCTCTAGTTATCTACAAACACAGCAGAAGATTAAGGATCCTAGAGTTTATGGCTATTTTAAGATGCAGCAATGGGTTTTCTGAAATGCAAGTGTAACATAAAAAAATCCAAAAATATCAGAGCTTGTTTAGATTAATGCTGCTAGTAAATTTTGATGGACAATGGGCATTGCATGTAATGGCAGAATTTGGTTCTTAAGATTCGGATTTCTCAAAAGTAAGAGACTTGTGCATCAGCAACAGTGTTTATAAGTTCCAATCAGTTACTAGTGCAAAACAACTGAAAGCAGGAGGCAGGTGTTACTGATGACAGAGTTTCAAGTTAAAGGGGTTCAACAGGTGTCACCAAGAGACTAATTTGGCCTGCAGATCCTTTCTTACTGGTGGTGATTTGCAAGAAGCAAAGAACCCAGTATGACTTTCAGATTTTACATATTTATAGGGCTGTTAGAAACAAACTAAAGCAAAACAATTTATGTACTTATGAACATGGAACCCTAATATGCCATTTTATAGTTACTTTTCAGACAAGACCTGGGCTTGAAGAAAACAGATGTCTCTCACTGACTTGCTCAACACATTGCAGCCTAAACTGCTATGCTTGCCACTGGCTCTTTTAAAGTCTTCTTTACAATATAAAGAAACAGATGCCTTCCATTTTCCATCTCTATCATTTTGAGTAGTATGTTACTGCTCAATCAAGCTATAGGTAACACAGGAATAAAATCTGCCATTGCAGACCGTTATGTGGCTCCCAAGGGTGTGCCATGACATCTTTAATTAGGGAACCATGGCCAATGGGAGCTGTGGGGGTGGTGCCTGTGGGTGGGGGCAGTGCATGGAGCCTTCTGGCTGCCTAGGAGCCAGAGGGACATACCACCACTTCCCAGAAGTGGACTTCCTCCAACCCTGGGAAATGCCAGGGCCACCTGAGGTCAGTATCGTCCAGAGCCCGCACCCTGAACTCCATCCAATGACCTAGCCCCCTGCCCCAGCTCAGAACCCCCTCCTGCACCCCAACTCCCTCCCAGAGCCCATCACCCCTTGCACCCTAAACCCCTCATCCCTGCCCCCATCCCAGAGCCCTCACCCCCCCTACACCCCAACCCCCATCCCAGAGCCCCCTCCAACACCCTGAACCCATCCCCAGCCTCACCCCAGAACCTGCACCCCCAGCGCAGAGTCCATACCCAGTCCTTCACCCCAACCCTGTGCCTCAACCCACAGCCCCCTCCCACACTCCAAATTCCTCAGCCCCAATCCCCACCTAGAACTCCCTCCTACACCCCAAACCCATCATCCCCAACCCCACCCCAGAACCCGCACCTCCTCCCGACCCCCTGCCTCAGCCCAGTGAAAAAGAGCCAGTGATAGGGTTGCCAGGTGTCTGGTTTTCAACCAGAACGCCCGGTCGAAAAAGGATCCTGGTGGCTCCAGTCAGCACCACCAAACGGGCTGTTAAAAGTCCGGTCGGTGGTGTTCCGGGGCTAAGGCAGGCTAGTCCCTGCCTGTCCTGGCACCAGTGCTGCACTTCGGAAGCAGCCAGCAGGTCTGGCTCCTAGGCAGGAGGGCCACGGGGCTCTGCGCACTGTCCCCGCCCCAAGCACTGGCTCCGCACTCCAATTGGCCAGGAACTGCACCCAATGGGAGCTGGGGGAGGGGGCGGTGCCTGTGGGTGAGAGCAGTGCATGAAGCCTCCTACCCACCCCCCACTTGAAGCTGGACTTGCTGGCTGCTTCTGGGGCACAGCACCAGTGCCAGGACAGGCAGGGAACCTGCCTTAGCCCTGCTGACGGGAGCCACCTGAGATAAGTCTGACCCCCAAACCTGTGTCCTGAGCTCCCCCAAACCTGGACCCCTCTCCTGTCCCCCAAACTTCTCATTCCTGGCCCCACCCCAGAGTGCCCCTGCATCTCAACCTTCTGCCCTAGCCCACATCCCCCTCCCACAC